AGGGTGGTCACGGCCATGGCTTTGAGGAGCCAGGAGCTGAGGGGACAATAGCACTGAATCCGGGTGGCTTGGCAGACACTCAGACTCTGAGCTCGGAGAAAGTGGGCCACGCTCTCCAGAGCTCAGAGGAGGGGAAGGGGCTGCACCAGCCCAGCTGAAAGGCCTGAAGGACCTTCCACTCCTTCTGCTCTGGTGCAGATGAGCTCACAGACAAACGAAGACGCCTCCCCTTGGGCTTAACCTCCTTTGTGTCTTCATTTGCTTTTTGTTAAGACAAAGAAGAGATGCAGCTCACTGCTGCCCCGGAGGAACATGAGCTCAGAAGGGGTCAAGTGCACAGAGGACAGCCCATTACAGTGACGGTCAGGCCAGCAGCCGCGTGAGGTCCTGACAAAAGAGCTCGCATCTCCCCCAGGTTACCTGGGAGCTGCTGGCCGGACCCACGCTAGGCTTTTACCAGGAGACACTTCACTCTCTCAAAGGGGAGTAAAATGTGTGTCTATGCTGTGTATAAACTGTGTGTAAAACCACAGACTTCGCAGAGATTACTAAGAACACATGTGGAGGTGGAGTGGGAAGGGGAGCGGAGATGGAGAAAGAGGCCAGCAGAGAGGGAGGCGTCGGGGCTTCAGATCAGCGCTGGGCTATGACAGCAGCATGTCCCCCGTGGGGGCTGTGCTGCTAGAGGCCAGGTCAGCCATGGAGGATGGGGGCACACATGGAGGATGGGGTCAGCCATGGTGGACGGGGTCAGCCATGGTGGACGGGGACACACATGGAGGATGGGGTCAGCCATGGTGGACGGGGGCATGCATGGTGGACGGGGTCAGGCATGGTGGGCAGGGTCACAGATGGTGGACGAAGTCAGGCATGGTGGACGGGGTCATGCGTGATGAGTGGGGTCAGGCATGGTGTATGGGGTCAGCCATGGCGGATGGGGTCAGGCATGGTGGACAGGGTCACACATGGTGGACAGGGTCAGGCATGGTGGAGGGGGACACGCATGGTGGACGGGGTCAGCCATGGAGGACAGGGTCAGCCATGGTGGACAGGGACATGCATGGTGGATGGGGTCAGCCATGGAGGACAGGGTCAGGCATGGCATACGGGGTCAGGCATGGTGGACGGGGTCATGCATAGCGGATGGGGTCAGGCACTGTGGATGGAGTCAGGCATGGTGGACGGGGTCAGCCATGGTGCACAGAGTCATGCATGGTGGACAGGGTCACGCGTGGTGGATGGTGTCAGCTATGGAGGACGAGGTCAGCTATGGTGGACAGTGCTCAGTGGAGCTTCCAGAATAAGACAGGATGCTCCGTGGAGGGAAAGAGGGATCCACTCCTTCTCCCATACTGGAGGCATGTTTTCAGGAGGGCCCGTCCTTGGGAAAGGGCCATTTGTCTGGGAACAGTGGAGGGTCAGAGGAAGAGAGGAAGCCCCTGAAGAGGATGGATGGACACAGGACTGTACCAAAAGGTACATATGTATATTAGGATCATAAGGGTAGGCTCACTGTGAGCCGGAGTCGACTTGCTGGCACCTACAGCTATGAACAGACACACATAGCCTTTCAATACGGCCCACCAGTCAGTCAATGTCACAGGCATCCACAGTCCACACAGTTCTAAAGAATTCAGAAATCCTGCTGGGAGGACGGAATGCAGCCAGCAACTCCCAACCTCACACGTGTCTCCTGGGTCTGTTGCATACAAGTGATAGAGCTGCCGGGAGCATGATGGTGCATAAATACACACGCGCGTGCACACACACACACACACACACACACACACACACACACACACGAACACGATGGCGCAGAAATACACACACGCGCACATGTGTATACACACACACAATGGTGTACAAATACACACACAGAAGAGCATGATGGCGCAGAAATACACACGCATGCATGCACACAAACGCAACATGTGCATACATGCGTGCGTGTACACACACACACACACACACACACACGAAATGCCTGTGTGACTGGCTTGTGCGTGTGCTGTGCTGTACTTTTACCTAAAAGGCTCACGGGTAACGGAGCTGTTGAGACACGTCCACGGCAGCATCAACTCACACGTGTTTCTGGAGGGTTGCCGAGCTGTGTGTCTGTTTCACTGCTCTCTGAAAATATTAAAAGTGCATCGTGGCTCCCACATGTCCCTGAACCGGTGCTGGTGACGGCAGCAGCAGGAGACACAGAACACGTGTGGGCTTGGAAGTGAATTGAAAGGTCACTGGGAGACCAGGGCGCACGACTGCCCACGATTGTCACACTGGACGATTCAAGGCCTCGGAACACAGTGGGGGATTCTCCAGCTGTCACAGACCCCCCCCCACCCCCACGGAGATCTCCAGGTTATACCGGAACACGAGAGAGACCAGGGCCGGCTGTGGAGAGATGCTGATGGCGCGACTGAGAACCAGATGCAGAGGGCAGCGCTCTCCACATCCCGAGGCCACCGCCGAGCACAAGTGTCCCTGTCATTCAGGGCGCCCATCACGTAGGTTCCCCATCACGCAGTGTCCCAGTCACACAGTGTCCCAGTCACACAGTGTCTGTTTCACGTATCAGGGTCTTGAAGTAGATTGTGTACACACTTATGTAGGTATAGATGTGCACATACACACATGTACACGTGCTCACATGTATATAGATGTGGGGCCTACACATTCTTACATGTGTGTACATGCATGTGTGTCTATAAATGTATGTGCATTGTCCCACCTCCACATGCACATGGAGTAACTGAAAACCCCATGGCTTGGCTCAAGTACGCCTTCGTTTTTTAAACCACCTCCTTGCTCTTTAGCACTTTAAAAGTTGTTGTTGTTATGTGCCATCGAGTTGCTTGTGACTCATAGCGACCCTATGTACAAGAGCCCTAAACGCTGTTCTATCCTGTGCCACCCTCGCTGTCTCAAACACATTCATTCCCACCACTGCACTCACAGAATTGATCCATCTCATCAAGGGTCTTCCTCTCCTGCGCCGTTCCTTCACTCTCCCAAACATGATGTCCCTCTCCAGTCCCTCCTTGCAACATGCCCAAAGTATGTTAGACGAAGCTTCAGAATCCTTGACTCCAAGGAGTATTCCAGCTTCACCGTCTGCAGGACAAACCTGTTTGTTCTCCTAGCAGTCCATGGTATATTCAACACTCTTCTCCAGCACCACAGCTCAAAGGCATCAATTCTCCTTCTATCAACCCTATTCACTGTCTAACTCTTTGATGCATAGCATATTAATTGCGAAGACTATAGCCTGGATCAGGTGCACCTTAGTCTCCAGCCTAACATCGTTGCTCTTCAGTACTCTTGAGAGGTCCCTCACAGCTGACTTTCCCAATGCAATTCGTCTCCTGATTTCCTGGCTGCTGTTACCAAGAGTGTTGACTGTGGAGCCAAGTAAACGAAAACTGTTAACTATCTCAATCTCTTCACCATCCATGCTGATGCTGCCAATTGGCCCAGTGGTGAGAATCTTTGTCTTCTTGATGTTGAGCTTCAATCCATATTGAAGACTGCAGTCCTTGACCCTCAGCAGCAAGCACTTCAGGTCCTCCTCAGTTTCAGCAAGCAGGGTTGTGTCATTGCATAACGCAGGTTGTTGATGATTCTTCCACTAATCCTGATGCCACATTCTTCCTCGTACAGCCCAACATCTTGGATGATCTGTTCTGCATACAGATTGAAAGGATATGGAAACAGAATACGTCCTTGAAGGACCCCCTTCTTGATTTTGAACCATGCAGTGTCTCCCTGCTCTGTTCTGATGACTGCTTCTTGGTCCAAGTATAGGTTTTGGATTAGCACAATGAAGTGTTCTGGGATTCCCATTCTTCTCAGAGTCAGCCACAGTTTGTTATGATCCACACAGTCAAAAGCCTTTGCATAGTCAATGAAGCACAGATAGACATTCTTCTGGTACTCCCTGCTTTCTGCCAAGATCCATCTCATATTAGCTATAATATCCCTAGTCCCATGACCTCTTCTAAATCCAGCCTGCACCTTTAAAGGTAGATAATGAATTATTCTTCCGTCATGAAGAACTGATGCCTCTGAGCCGTGGTGTTGGTGAAGGGTACTGACAAACACGTTGGTCCTGGAGGAAGTGCAGCCCGGGTCCACTTCTTAGAAGCAGGAATGCAGAGCTTGGTCTCGCAGACTTCGGGCATGCTGTCAGGAGGAACTCGGAGGCTTTGGGAGCAGCCTTCACGTTGGGGAAGGTGCAGGGTCGGTAGAGAAGAGGAAGACCTCAACAAGACGGACTGGCCCAGTGGCTGTCACACGGCTTGAGTGTGTCGGGAATCATGAGGATGAGGAGGGGTCAGATCTGTGGTTCACAGGGTCAATACGAGTCAGAGTCGACGCAGAGGCACCTAATAACAACAGTATACACAGTATATACAGTATACACAGATAGATTGTTTTTGTTGTTAAGTGATGTCAAGTCAATCACAGCCCATAGTCACACTGGAATAATTGATTGGAACCTTGTCCTGCCATGCCATATAAAACTGTGCAAGCTGGAACCTGTGTAAGGTGGACACCTTTCAGAGAATGAAAATGACAGTATTAGCCACTAACAGAAAACAGCAGGAAGTGGGCACACTGTCCACTGCTAGACGCGGACAGCTGTGCGAGCAGGCCGGAGGTCATCCCGTAGGCTGGCCCTCCCAGGCTCTCGGTGCCCGGCCGTCAGGACAACACTCACCAGCTGGCCGCATCAGGGCTGGGATGCCTGGGCCAGCATGGGCAGCGGACCCCCTGCCCCAGACTCCAGCACACAGCGCTCTCACAGCTCACATGACACCAGCAGCACTGACTATGAGCTGTCCCTGACTGCGTGAAGGCTACACTCTGAGTGCAAGTCGCCCCAGGAGCCACCAAAGGGCCTTCACAGTTGACACATCCAGCAAACGCACACGCAGGCAGGGAGGGCAGCAAACGCCGCCTCACTTACCTCGGCTGCGGCCTGGGTGTCCGGCAGCGCTGGGTCACTCTTGCCCTGGAACGAAGAAGAGTGTCCGTGAGTCCCCGCCCCCTCGCAGAGCCCTGCAGAGCCCGTGGTGGCAGATACCAACCGGGCCTGGGCGCCTCTTGCTCCTGAACATCAGTCTCCACATGACGGTAATAATCGGAGGGGCTGCCTAGCTCTCGGGGCGCCCTTCAGCAAGAAGAAGGGAACTTGTAACTTTGTGCAACTTTAAAACGCAGCCAAAGGAAATGATGATGTTCTAATCACCAACCTCAAAACTCAACCGACGGAAGATCCGAGCCTGCAGACAACATGCTCCCCAGGTCGGCCAGTCACCTCTCAAGGTGGCAACAGGCCGCCCTGCTACTGCCATGCGGGCTGCTGCTGGTCACCTCCTGCTCATGGCGACCTCGTGGACAAGAGGACGCAGCCTGGCCCACCGTGTACTGAGTGCCCCCTTAGGGGTTGTCCCCCAGCACCCCTATGTCTGGCTGTGACCCTGAAGGTGCTCACTGCTGGTTCTCATAAAGCGATTGCCTGGCCTTCCACTGACACCTGCCCACCACAGGTGACCCTGGGGCATTTCAACCACCTGTGGCCTCGCTTCCAGCATCACAGAAATCTGCCTGACAGCACAGCACAGTGACTGATGGACGGATGTGGGCTCTAGACAGTGGAGGAAAGCAGTTTAAACTACAGGAAAGTGGAGGCTTTGAATCTGCAAATAAACTCCCAAACCCCACCCCACTCCCACTGATTGGTTCCAGCTCAGATCTCCAGGTCCGGAAACCCTGCGGCAGTTCCACTCTGTCCTACAGATGAGCAAGCTAGCCAACATATACCAGGGCCCAGGCGGGGTTAATCACAGGCCTCAAATGAACACACACACACACACACACACACACACACACACACACACCCTTCTGGGACACTTTATTCTTCCATCTGACAACTGGATGATGGTTAAGGATGACAGAAGGAGAATCAATGCCATTGGGTCGTGGTGTTACAGAAGAGTATTGAATATCCGTGGACTGTCATGAGAACAAACATTCTCTCCTAGAGAGTGTGAAACCAGGGTGCTCCTTGTAGGTAAGAAGGGTGAAAGTCCATCACACATACTTTGGACATGTTGTTAATAGGGAGTGGTTCTAGGAGACGGATGTCATGCTTGAGAAGGTGGACGGTCAGAGAAAGAGAGGGAGACCCTCAACCAGACAGACTGACACAGTGCCCGTGACAATGGTTTGCACATAGCAGAGACGTAAGGACGGCTCAGAACAGGGTAGGTTCAGATCCTTTGTGAGTCTTAGCCAACTCAACAGCACCTAACAAGACTGACAGAGAATCTGACTTTTTGACAAGGTTGTTTCAGGATCTTTGAGACAGAAAGAACAGGTATGCTGTCTCTGCGTGCACACCCGCTCCTGGGCTCATGCCCTCTGACAAACAAGAGAGGAAGAGAAGAGGCCGACATGTAAGTGCATTTCTTTTGCCCTGTGTGAAGCTTTGTGGTCTGATGTCAATACGAAGCTGACTGGCATTACCTCTGAAATGAAACCGAGGGCTGGCCTGCCGCCGGGTCTCCCTCGCAGGTGTGCTCCCAGACAGGTGTGCTCTTCTACAAGCTCCCACTGGGTGCGGAGGCCTGGGGAGGCAACCACTGAAAAAATCACAGCCTTCACCTGCCCACTCCCTCCTCCAACACAGCTGACACAGGTGTGGACCTGACGGGCCTGATGCAGGTGCGAATCTGACGCAGGTGTGGACCTACATGACACACATGTAGACCTGACTCAGATGTGGGCCGGATACAGGTGTGGCCCTGGCACAGGTGTGGACTTGGCGCAGGTGTGGACCTGGTGCAGGTGTGGACTTGGTACAGGTGTGAATGGACCTGACACAGTTGTGGACCTGGCACAGGTGTGGACCTGAATCAAGTGCTGATCTACACAGATATCACACCCCAAGTATGAGGAGGCCCCAGGACTGCACACCTTGCCCTGATGCACACATAGGTGGCCGAGGTCTCCTGGCCCTCGCTCAGAACTGGGATGTTCCTTCCCTTCTCGTTCACCTGGCTCCCAGCTGTAAACGGGATTACTGGGGAACTAAACAGACCCACTAGAGGGACCTTGTGATGAGATGGTGAGCCCGGTGCCAGTCACCCCATTTCTGCCAGCCTCCTTCTCCAACACCCCTGTTTCTCTCCACAGCCAGACTCCAGGCCTGAACTTGGATTGATAGCAAGGTCCAGCTCTATAACAACACCCACCCCCCGGATGCTCGCGGGTCACTGTAATTCGGGACGGGCAGAGAGCAGGCTCCTTCATCCCTGTCCTCACCTTTGAGGACCACGGGGGCCAGGTGGGCAGGGCCAGGAAGGGGCTGGATGGAATGTAAAGGGGACTTCCTACCAGGAGAGGACGCAGCCCCACACCAGCAAATTCGACCTAGCGCCCGACCCCCTGACCAGAGCCCTGAGGCATCCTGAGCCTAGACAGACCTGTGCAGTCCCTTCCCCAAGCTCACCCGACCTTCTTGTCAAGATAGACTTGGAGTGGTTTTTATGTGGCCACAGCTAGTCCACCAGGAGGACAGCAAGAGAGTAGAGATGGCACCAAGCCCAGCACAGGAGGCTCACCCCCCAGGATCCGGCCTTTGGACACAGAGGGAAACAGTGAAACCAGAGAGCATGTGTTCTTTATTGGAAATAAGATATTGGAGTTTTCTAGGCAAATCATCAAGGACTTTTTGGGAAAAAACCCCACGGATTAAATATTTTCCAAGCTTGAGAAAACGACCTCGTGACACAGATAGGTAAAAGAAAACGGCCTCATTGTCGCTAGACTTTCCCCTTCCCAGCTGAAGCCTTCCCCCAGTCCCTGCCTGTTTGTCCACTAGTGGAAAGCTGACCTGGTCCAGGCAAGACGCTCCAGGAGTGCCACCATGCACGAGGTGACCTGGACGACACACCAGGTGCCAGCGTGCACGAACTGACCTGGATAAAGCTCCAGGAAGGCCACCGTGCACGAGCTGACCTGGATGACCCTCCCAGGGTGCCAGTGCATAAGCTGACCGGGAAGACCCCTGCAAGACGAGGAAAAGGCCAACAGAACACTGCCCAGCCGAGACTTCTCCAGGAGGTCTGCTGAGCCCACAATCTCTGTACACAGCCTCCCACAGTCAGCAAGAGTCGCTGGCTTCTAATCGGAGAACTCAGGCCCCTGCATCCAGTGACCATGGCCCAGCTGATGGCTTCGCCCGCCCGCCTTGGGTTCTTGAGTCACGTACTCCCAGTCCGACTCCAGGCTCTCCCCGGCTCCTCTGAAGGCCCCAGTGCAGTGTCCTTGAGCACGGGCAGTGTCCACTGTGGGTGCCTCGGCTTCACCCGCCTGGCGGGGACTTGGTGGGGGCTGGTTAAGTTGGGCCTGGAGGCATGTAAAGCTGAGGGCACAGTGTCACCAGGCCAGGCCAGGCTGATGGAGAATCACTGCGCATGGTCCTTCAACACAGACCTTTGAGTTGACCGTTGGTTCTGACCCACCGGGACCTGCGTGTGTCAGAGAACAACTGTGTTCTACCAAGTTCTCAGGGCCTGAACCTCCACAAGGAGACTGCCAGGCCATTCTTCCGCAGTACCTCTGGGTGGCCTTGAAACTTTCCTTGAGCAGCCACGTGCCTAATCATCTGTGCCACCAAGGGATGTTTGTCGTGGCATTAGGTGTCATCAGGAGGGCTGTGGCTTAGCAGCCGCACAGCATAACAGCGTCCACTCCATCCTGCCTGATGCTCTAGCCACTGTGTCAACCCACTTCTCCGAAGGCCTTCCTCTTTTCTCACTATTTCATCCAGCAAACGTCCTCCTCCAGGGCCCTCCTGATTCCATGTCCAAAGTATGTGAGATGAAGGGCCGTCAGCCTCGCCTCTCAGGAGCTCCTGCCAGTGCCTCCTCCAGGACAGACTCGTTCGTTCTTCTGGCCGCCCGAGGGGCAGTCAGTGCCCCTCACCAACAGTGCAGTGCAGGAGCATCGGTTCTTCTCCGCTCTTCCCTAGTCACTGTGCAGCTTGCAGATATGTGTGAAGCAACTGAAAAATACCATGATTTAGAGTCTTTAAACCAACGTCCTTGGCCTTTACAGGGGTCCTGGATAGCAGATTTGCCCAGTGTAATAAATCTGTGATTTCCTGACTGCTACTAGCATGGGTAGGACGTATGGACCCAAGGATAATGAAATTCTTGACTTGAATCTTTCAGATCCACCTCCTGATTTTGACTGTTGAGCCTGTGGGGAGGCTGTTTTTTTTCTGGGTGCTGAACTGTAATCCATGTGAAAGTCTCCACTGTTTCAAGTCTTCTTCGCTTTCTGAAAGCAAGGCTGTGTCATCGGCAGAGCACAAGTTGTTGTTGAATCTCCCTCCCATCCTGACACCACATTCGCCTTGATATAGTCCAGCTTCTCAAATGATCTGCTTGGCACACAGATTGAATAGATATGGAGAAAGGATACAACCCTGACACACACCTTCCCCAATTTTAAACCATGCACTGTTCCCTTGTTCTGTTCAGACAACTGCTTCTTGATAGAGATATATAGATACAGATATAGATATAGATATAGATATAGATATAGATATACATATAGATCTAGATATAGATAGATATAAAGATAGATGTGTTTTACATGAGCACAATTAAGGGCTGTGGAATTCCTCATCTTTTCACTGGTAGCTATAATTTGTTATGATTCACACAGTTGAATGCCTTTGTATGGTCAATAAAACTTAAAGTAAACATCTTTCTGGTAGTTTCTGCTTGCAGTCAAGTTCCATCTGACATCAGCGATGACATCCCTCATGCCACAGCCTCTTCTAAATCCTGCTTGGATTCTTCACAGTTCCCTGTCAATGGATTATTCCAATCACTCTCACCTTCAGCATGTGATATTAACCATGTTGTTCTATAATTTCCACATTGTTAGATCAATTATTTTTGGAATGGGGACAAATATGGTCTGGTATCTGTCCTC